GTACCCTTCATGTTACATGTGTAGGGATGCGATTATAGCTGTCCACTGCCACATTAAAATTAAAAGCAAAAAAAAAAAATCTTTAATGGGTACAATTACTAAAGCCCAGTCGCCATATCGGTAAATTTTTACTTTAGGACATGAGTCCCTCGGGGTTGACCAATATGTTTTTCCAGTGTATGTTGGTGTTTTAAGCGAATCTGACCTTCATTTTTGTCGGAAATTGCTCGTTTTTGCCCCACCCCGACCCCCCAACAATAAGGGAGAGGGAGAGCCTGGGAAATCGGGGTTTTTGGATGGGGGAGGAAAGAAAACGAGTCATCTAACCTAACGTAAATGTTTCAGTAATTTAAAACTTTGGGGCGTGCAATGTCCGAAAGTACAATACCTTAGTTAGAAATGGATAGAATGATCGTCTTTCTCGTAAAACTCGGCAATAAACTTAAAATAATCGTAGGAGCACGAATGACAATCAACCTCCACCACGGCCATTGTGAGACTGGTCAAGACTCAAGTGGTCATTGAAATTCAAATCCGTACCCAGGCTGCTTCCTTTGAAAATATCAAAAGTGATTGGTCGGAAGAAATTCGCGTGATGATATTGATACATCATTGGTCACCACCAAAGACTATAATAATTTTAACTTCATAGAACTCGCAAAACTAGGTTTAACTAATTCTTCTTGATATCTGCCTACTATACCAATCATGCTTTTGCCTCACATATACTGTAATTCAATTCAAGGAACAGCACTTGAGTAACATTTTTTTTCAAAACCTTAGTTATAACGATTCTGAATAACACGGATATACCATATCGTGTTGTAGGTAATTGCAGTGTTGGGATAGAACCTTCCTAAATTCTTACTAGACGTTTTGGTATTGTTTGACCGAGTTGTTCATATTTCAAATTTCTCTCAAATGTACCACTTTCAAAATGCAGGCTATACAGTATATTACTGCACTCTTAACATTATTGGAATCTTAATTTCTGCGGGGTAAAATACTTTCCTTTTCACCTCTTTATTCTTGGGAACCTGTGAAAAGTAATACTTTCCCTCGTGTTTGTAGCCTGAGCAGCAACCATACACTGCACAATTGCTGGTCAGGGTCTCACACGTTTATAATATCACTCTAAACTTAACAATTGCAAACTGGACCTCATCATAACAAACGAGGAGGGTATGGTGGCCAAACTGGAACATCTAGCCCCAGTTGGCACCAGCCACCATGTAATGCTGTCATTCAGATTTAACTGTTACCTAGTTCATGACAAACCAGTCCAAGGTGCAAATACTACAAAGGCATTTACGACGGGATGAGGGAGGAGGTGAGTATCCACAGGCCTGAATCACTAAGGCATAAAAACGCAGACACTATGTTGAATATCATAGCTAGTAAAGTGAACCATTTGATCGATAAATATATACCCAAGACCAAACTCAGTGTCTCTAGGTGTTCGAAGGGACCCTTACACATGAACCATGTGCCGGTCAACAAAGTTAAGAAGAAAACCCAGAAATTCAAGGCGTGGGTTAGGTCAAACGATAAGCAGGACAGAAGGATGTATGCAAGAGCCAGGAAACAAGCAAAGTCAGAGTGTAGAAAGGCTGAAAAGGAATGTCAGAGGCTGATTGCAAGCGAGGTCAAGTCAAACCCAAAGGTGTTTTACCGCTTTGCAAAGTCGAAATTAAAAACGCGAGTAGGAGTATCAGACCCGAGGCTTGAAGATGGTAGTTACGCAAATTCCGACCAGGACAAAGGTGATTCATTGAACAGCTTCTTTTCCTCGGTGTTCGCAAGAGAGGATGTGAGTAACCTACCCGCGTTTGAGGACAGACGGTTCGACACAACACTGACCCACACTGTGTTCACTGAAGAGGTTATAAGAAATAAACTGTCAAAACTAAAGGTTCATAAGAGTCCCTTGCCTGACGTGGTGCATCCCAGTGCTAAGAGAGTTGTGCAACGAGCTTGCCGAGTCCCTGAAGATCCTGTTCTGCAAATGCCTGGATGAACAAAAGGAACCCAGTGAATGGAAAATGGTTTATTTGAGACCTATCTTCAAGAAGGGCGATCGTCACATCACGAACAACTATAGACCGATGAGCCTGACCAATATAGTATGTAAAGTACTTGAGAGCATTATAAGAGATGCTATGACTGAACATCTACTAAGAAACAACCTTGTAAAGGATTGCCAACACGGTTTTATGCCGGGGCACTCCTGCTTAACAATTACTCAATGTACTGGATATTTGGACCCATATTCTGAACAGGGTGGTAATATCGACAATATATGCCTAGATTTTGCCAAGGCTTTCGACAGCGTATCCCATAAGAGGCTGAAATTTAAACTGGAAGGGTGCGGGTTTCGGGGAAATGTCCTAGCTTGGATAAAAAACTTTCTACATTACCACAAGCAGTGTGTGGTGATTAACGGCGCAAAATCATCTTGTGTACCCGTCACAAGCGGGGTGCCACAGGGCAGTGCATTGGGCCGGCTGTTGTTTGTTTGTTTCATCAATGATAATACCTGACGCTGTACATTCCTCCATGCAAATGTTTGCGGATGACACCAAGTTATTTCGGGAAATTTAGAACCAAACAGACTGTGAGGAGCTGCAGAAGGATCTCTGTGAGTTCCAAGAATGGTCTAAGAAATGGCAGCTACGATTAAATGTCACGAAGTGTAAGAGGATGCACCTGGGACGTATCAACGGTAAGGAGGCATTAATTGAGACCGAATGTGAAAAGGAACTAGGTGTGTATGTTGACAATGAGCTAAAGTTTTCGGGTCATTGCGAGAAGAAGGTAAATCAGGCAAATAAATTATTGGGTCTTATAAGAAGGTCGTTCAGATATATAGATCTTTAAAAGTTAAGTGCTTCCCCATCTGGAGTACTGTCACCCTGTCTGGTCCCTGAGATATGCTAGGGACTGTCAGTTGATTGAAAATGCCCAAAGGAGGGCCACCAGACTGGTGCCTGCACTACGGCATCTCAGCTACCTTGAGAGATTGGAGCGCCTGAACTTGACCAGCTTATACTACAGACGGGCAAGGGGGGACCAAATTGAGGTGTATAAGCATCTCAAAGGGCACTACTCAGTCGAGTGTCCTTACCTGACGCTGGCGGACGCTCTCCCCACAAGGGGTCACAGTTCAAGGTTGAAGAAGCAACAAGCTCAAAAAACTGTGAGGGGTAACTTTTTCGGAGTGAGACTTGTGAACTCGTGGAACAACATGCCTGATAGTGTAGTGACGGCACCAAGTGTGAGCTCTTTCATAACCAGACATGACAAGCAATGAAATAGGATCAGATACATTCAGAAGCAAGTGCATACCCAGTACTTGCCAACAGTGCGTAACAGAGACGTGACCGATCGCGCAAGCGGCTAACGAGCCGATCAGCGGTGAAGAGGATAAAAGTAAAGTAAAGTAAAAGACCCATTACACCGGCATTAATACGTAATATGTTACTATGAAGCGCGAGGTATGAAGCTGGACTTCACCCCGCTCTTCGATTCCAACTCTGGTTATGTACTCATTTGAGGTTCCTGGGGCTCGTGGTCTGATTCCCCAGTGCTTCACTATTCGACTGTCAACTCTGGTCACCTACTCCAGCTACTGCCGCGGCTGCCACGTGATCGCCACTTCCTCACGCCCTATCCACCGTTCGTGCCCTGGCGTCTCTCCTGTGTGACAAGACATCGCCCACCAACGCTGGCGCCAAGTGAGGAAACTGTCTTTGACCTTCCCCCTGAGAGGAGATCACCGTGTTACCAGAACATTCCATCGTGCTGGTTAGGAGTAAGATTCATCGGCAGCCGTAGGAAATTTATGTTCTTTGTTGTATTGTTTGTTGTAAGTAATTGTTTGACTCCAGTGCTGTTTATTTAATATATATGTGAGTGGTGTCAGAGTTAAATTGTGATTATTTTCGTAGTAAAGAGATGTCAATCTTTAACGGTTGTTTGTTACCCCTTGGAAACCCATGGATCTTGACTTTCCTTTTTTAAGATCCTCATTAGGCTGGCAAGGGATTTATATCCAAAAGGCCAGGCTTTTACAACAGTCGTAACATCAACAAATTTGAACACGAGCCGGGAGCGATGCCTAGCTCTGACCCCCCCCCATATAACCTCTTTACCAAATACTGGTAATTCTCGAAGTAATTTATTTTTAATTCCTTGTAGCTTTGTGTGTACTTAGTGCTTTGATCCCTCCATTGTTCTTGATAATTTTATCTAGCGCTAATTTGAAGCCCAATTTTGTTTGATTACACAGCTTGAGCTGGTAGACTGTTCTATAGACCTACCACCCTCTGTGTGAATAAGTGTTTCTTTATCTACATGAGCTTTTACTGTAGTTATGTTCCCTCATGTTGGTGGTGCGGCGCATCACAAATCATGTTTTCCATCCCTTTCAAGATTTTGAATGCCTTCGAGATCTACCTGTTGTGTTTAGTCTGAAGGGTTGTTCGTCCTAGGGCCCTCAGTCTACTTGGATACTCGAAATAACTTAGTTCCAAATTCATTATTCCAAATGAATGTCACTTATTGAATACCATGAAAATATTATGCTGTTTTACCATAAAATTTAAACCAAATGTAATGAATCGCCTTCTCCTGAATATTGTAGAATTAAGACTGACTAATGTGAGTAAGAAGTAAGTAATATACCCCACAATTTCTTGTCTGAAATCTAAAAAAATCAAAATACTGTAACTGGAAAAATATTATTTTGAGACCAAGGCACTTTAATAAACTTTTTATATTTGTTTTGTTGTATCTCCCTATGGCTATGTCCCATGTCCGAGCGTCCTGTGACATCGAGCGACCAGGGCACAGATGCGACCTGTGTCCCGCCTGCAAGCATCTTGCCAGCTCAAACAAGTCGTTTACGCAACGCAGATGTTTGCTGGTACTTTTAAAAAATACTGCTTTTCAACGTGTGGGACCTGCAGAGCTCCCCAAGAAAAAAAAATCCATATATCAGAGGAGGATGCTGGATAAAAGTTGACGAATTTCACCAACTCTACAAGGAACTTCGCCGAGATCCAAAGAAGGTTCACGAGTACGTCAGAATGTATTCTGATTGGGGGTGAGGCCTATCCTCTCTGAGTATATTTGTTGAAACCCTATCCTAGGAATGCTACAAACAAAGAAAAAAAAGAATAATTGCAGATTGTTACGTGCCCGGCGTTTTGTAGAGTGCGCATTTGAAATTTGTACAAGTAAATGGAGAATTTTAAATAAAGCTATTGAAACCAAAGTAGATATTGCTGTCGACATTGTAAAGTGTGTTACACTTATTGTCATCAGATATTGCAAAAGTTTTTCGTTGCTTATTGAAGTAATCACATATTTTGATCGCTGCCGATTTTTTTTCCATCAGAATTCGTGTGTTAATTAGGTAGTGAGCAATATGTCAAAGTTGTTAAAGTATTGATGTATCTGATGCTTGGGTAATGAATAGCGACTGCAGGTAATCCAAATACTCAATGAAACTTCACACATGATACTCTGGTACTCATCAGATGTCGTCTTGGGCGGTTGGGCGGAGTGTGTGGGCGGCTGGGCGGAGTTTGTGGGCAGCTAAGCAGAGTGCAGGGACCAAAGGGCCTGGTGTGTGGGCGGCAGGGTGGCCTGTGTGTGCACCAGGGAGCCGACGTGCCAGTAATGACGTCACCAGCTTCAGGGAGACAAAGACCTTGAGGATGTACAACGGCCAGAAGGTAAGCGCTCTTATGTGACCTTCACCTAGTGTAGCTCCCATAGTGGATCCCTCAAGTGTGCCTTCACCGATTGTGGTTCCCTCAGCAAGAGTGGGTATTCTCGAGGGTTTAAATGTTAACACCCTCTGGTTCTTTTAAAGATTACTGTCAGGTGGAACACTTCTGCTTTCACCAAGGATATTGAACAAGATTATAGATATTTGTAACAAAAGATGTCTCTTTACAAGTACAGTATTTACACTGATAATTAATCGGCATGAAGAGCAACATAACATATGTGGTATAGAAGTGCCGGACTACCGGTCGGAACAAAAGTCGGGAGTGTAGACACTGGATGTCAAGTGTGGGGTCTTGTATATCAACACGGCACAGGTGGTAAATTGGTGTCTTCTCAACAACTACAAAGGAGAGCAAGTATCCTCCTAACCGGCTCAGGTACTGTACTTGCTAATGGACCCCTCCTCTCTGCCAGCTGCTCCTAGATAAACATTCGTCTACCACGTACAGTATACTCCTACACTTATTTGTTCTTATTTTCATTTTTATAGTACTGTACAGTATACAGTTTTCTCTTTATTCATAAGACAAGTTCTGTGGATACTTACAAATATAACTTTACAGTAAATAACAATCATCTCAGTGACAGCAGTTGTTGGCAACAGGCCGGTATACACAAAACTTTTATCCTAATGACATAATAGTACTGTTAGCTAGCAGTAAAATTTAAAAGTTATACACAAAGCTTTACCAGCAAACTCTTACCGCACAAATAGTTGTTTGTTAAGTACCGCTAAACAGCGGTAAGGATAGCAGGAGTTCATCATGTAAAATGGTCTTATGGCTGAATAACCTCTATAAAATTGGCGTCTTATCAAAAACTACAGCGATGTTCTCCTCGCCGCAAGTTTCACGTTAGGCCTACTGATACCGATCTCTCTGGAGTTTCCGGTAACCAGCTGGACATTACGAAAGTGGTAACATTTCCCCTACGTTTTTTCTAAACGTGGCAAACTATTTCCTGCAGATTTTTACATAGTCAAACACTTTTCTTTGCCAGTTGATGGACTACTTAAACGCAATGTGATAGATGTCCAACCAAGTCATCTTACTATCTCATTTTATGGCATTACCTCTTGCACCATGCAAGGTTCTTTTCCAGTGCTCGAATCCAGGACGAAAGTTTTAACCAACTCTACGACTATGAGGACTGTGAATCACAAGTCCCAGTGCGTCGCCTAACCTACCGTCTCTTTCTCCCTGCGTGATTTTAGCAGCATTTTCAGAAAGAAAAAATAACCAGAGCCACTGTTCAGGAGCCTAAGGTTTTCACTGGGACTGACGAGTCTATTTTTAGGAATCTTCCAGGGTTGAAGGTCTTTCATGTGAATCTACCTTGTGTATAATTAGACCTGGTGGGTTAATGGATATCCTCGTTCTCAACAGAACAGGCACTCCCATATTATTAAGACAAGGGTGTTGCTTGTGTGATTACCCATTAACTACACTAGTGTTATTTTACAACTTACTCAATTCCCAAGTGGTAGTGTTACACACTCACACTTACTCCTAGAAATACTTGCCGACTACGGAAACATTGTAGCTATACCTGGCGAGCCGTTAGGTTAGATGAATTTAACCTCACTTCACATACTGTATCTTTGAAACCGGACACAAACCTGATTTTCATATCAGCTTACAGACTACCTCCTAGTCAACGCTCTGTGGTGGAAGACATGGTTACAGATATGCTGGAACAAGAAGTTATCACACATTCAAAATCCCCTTTCAATAGTCCATTGTTTTTTTGTCCCCAAGAAGAATGAAGGCTGGTGCCCTGTCATTGATTTTGGGCGAGTCAACATAAAATCTCTCCTATTTAGGTCTCCGGTGCCTGTTTTGAGAGACACACTGTAATCTTTAGGTAAAGATAATGTCGTTTTGCTACCATGATCTTCATAGCGGGTATTAGCCTTTCGACCTTCGAAATGGGCTATTGACCTTTCAAAGGATGATTAACACTTTGTTTGGTGATTTGATAGGCAACAAAGTCTATGCCCCTCTTAATGATCCTATCATTATTAGTAAAACTAGATAGTCACCTCGACAAACTACGTGAAGTTTTCAGAAGCTTTATACAGCGGGATTTCTTAAAGTTAAACTTTCCAAATGTGAATTCTTAAGATCTAAAAATCAATTCCTTGGACATCTTGTCGTCGGAAAAGCATTCGTACAGGTGACTGTAAAGCCAAAGCCATAACTCGGCTTCCACGTCCTAAAAACATTGACAAGGTGCGTCGTTTTCTTTGTCTATCAGAATACTACCGTTCATTTATAAAATGGTATGATATTTTAGCTTCGTCGCTGATCAGGTTACTCAAGAAAGGCAAGTCTTTTGTCTGGAATGATGAACAGGAGAATAATTTTACTGCATTGAAGACAGCATTTACCACTGCACCAAATTTGGCATTTCCTGACTGCACTTAACTATTTACACTGTGCACCGATGTTTCAGGACAGGGGATAGGGACTGTTTTCATGCAACTAGACACACAAAAGAAACATAGTGATTGCTTATGCATGCTGTGAAGTTAATGACCCAGGAACACGCTATTCTGTAACGAATATGGAAGCGTTACCAGTTGTCTGGTCTTTAAAGAAATTCAGAAACTTGATTTTTGGCTACAACATAACCGTCCATATGGATCATGTGGCAGTGACGGAGTTGTTCCGTAGTAAAAACCTTTCAGGCAGACTTGCTGTGAGGATATTCCTTTAAGGAACCTCCGGATTTTGATTTCTTTGTTATTATATGAAACTTGAGGCTGTTCTCATGCACTGTATGTAAGACCCAGGGAAAATTAGACAAGCAACTTTCCACTAATTTTAATATAACAATTTAATATAATTTAACATGATGCATTAATCTTCACACTTAATACAAGTGACAAATATCACCTTCTTCACTGTCGTCTGCTAACCACTATAATTCTGCAGACACCACCGTTGTCTTACAGTCCACCGCAACATAATCACCATCAGTTCAAACTTCCTCACAAACACTATCGTCACTATAACACTGCAGGCGTCACCATTGTCTCGCAATCCACCGTCACATAATCACCACCAGTCCACACTTCCTCATAGACACCGTCGACATCCGTTGGTGTGGTGGTAACAAGTTACGTACAGCTCCTTGGTGCTAGTAGCAGTTGTATGGTGGTTAGAGTGGCGATCGCGTGATGTGTGGTGAGACTGGTGACGGCTCCTCACACTCCTGGTGAAAACGGTGTTGCTTCAGCCGCCAGTTCTCTCTTGGTCTTCTTCTTCTTTTATGTTTACTGGCCGTCGACTACTGTGATCATTACGACCGTGACGTTCTTGTGGATTTTATCATGATGGATTTAATTGGGTCGTCTTAATCTCAATCACACCGTTATTATCTATTTATTTATTTATTTACGGGATTAACCCAATCAGGGCCTGGGGGTGAAAATATAATAAAGATAATAATAATAATAATATTAATAATAGGGCAGGGAGGTCACTTTCAAATGTCTCTATTTTTTGTCAGCCAAGCTGACTCTTTACTAGGCGTGAGTCATGACGACGACCCGATTGGGTCATTGTCAAGACTCCGTTTGTCAGCAGTGGTGACTCCACCTCAGCGCTCCGATGTACAGTAGACTGCCCTTGCTCTCTTTTTTTCTTTTATTTTTAAAATTTCTCGGATGGTTAATATGCGAAACTTAAACTAGAATGCTGGTCCGCCCACTGCTGGGAAAACCCCAGCGGGTAGATACTCGATAAGAAACCGTAGAGTTTCTTGACACTGGTTAGTGGTTAATCTTTTGGCAACCTTCTCTGCTGTGACAGGGGGGTAGCAAGTTTCTCCTAACTAATGTAATTGTGTTGCAGGACACTGTATGAGGTAGTGTTGCAGTGAGTTTTGTGCTTCTCTGTTACAGTTCTTACATGTGTGTTCTTCTGCTGGTACCCGTTTACATGGGTAGCCCAGTCTAAGTCGATGAAGGATGCATTCTTCCCATCTTATCTAACCCTTCATGAGAGGTGGTCTCTCATTATTCGTAACCAGATAATACCACATGGCCGTTCGGATTCTAGTGTTAATCTTCTGTCTTTCTATTTTTCACTGGGCAGTTTGTGTTATTGTGGTCTTCTTTATTTACTCCAGACTGGGTGGGATGTCCACCTCAGTGTCTCGCTGTCCTAGAGCACCCTTGGCATCATTTTTTAGCTCATTCATCCCTGAGATTCCGATATGACTGGACACCCAGTTGATGGTAACTTGTCGGTCTTGTCTTCTTAACCCTTGCAGTAGGCCAACAACGGATGTTATAAGATGAATGCTGTGTCTAGGGTCTCTACGCTGTAGTGCTTCAATAGTACGTCGTAAGGCAGTGTGTATTACAACGTTTTGTTGACTGTTTATGGGAGTTTTACATAAGTCTCCAAGTATGTCAGTTGGCTCTACTTGTGAAGTGGAGCATCCATCTGAAGTTTTCCGAAAGACCGTGTCACCCCCTTCTATGGTGAAGGCTGCTCTTGCCTTCGTATTGCTGGGTTTTACGGAACCGTCTGTGTAATACACAGTGCGGTGTTATAACCTTAATGTTTCTTTCTGCTACCTGTCGGAGCTCGTGTAGGTTCCAGTCAGCCTTTCTTGTCCCAGGTTGTAGAATGTTGAAGACTGATGGCGGTGACTCGCACGGTGCTGGAGTACTGTAGTCTGGCTGGGCTCATTGTGTCAGGGCCTTTACTAAGGATTATTTTTTTCAATCCTAGTCGATTTACAGTGTCGGCTGCACATAATAGCCTTGTGATCTTATCAAAGACTTCTCTGTTAAGGTTCAGAGCTCTTAAGACTTCATTCTTGATGACACTTTCCCGTGCCCTGGTAATAAATTTTGTTGTGAAGCGTGCTGCTAATCGTTCCTTTCTGGATCTGAGAGATGTGAGAACTGTCTCCATGTGTAGGTTTTCAATTCTTGTTCATATTGGTGCCTTGACAATGATTCAGAAAGTGTTGCTCTGAGCAACCTCCAATTTCTCTACTGGCATTCAGACAGTGTGTTAAGAGCCGGTGTCACGTAATCTGTTAATGATCGTATGGCGGGTATATATAGAGCATTCTCAGGACTACATGGCCTGCACCCACCTTGGGTCCTGTTTTGGCTCTCATCACATGGACTCTCTTGCCCTTTCGTTTTCTTAGATAATGAATCTTTTCTGCCAAATTTGAGGCCTTTGCCAATCTAGATGCCTAAGTATTTGTATACATTAACCCATTGTAGGGCAGTGCCTTGTCAGGTGTCATTGGATCATTGGACACAAACCTCATGGTTTTCGATTTTGGAATTGATATTTTGAGCCCAAGACCCATACATTCTTTACTGATGAGGTCTCGTGCCCTTTGTGCTTTGGTGATCTGGTTTCTGCCTTTTACCACTAATGCTAAGTCATTAGCATAGCATGGCATAGCAGTCTGGTACCTCCTTGAAAGGGGAGCCGACCTAAGTTTTGCATGAGGATGTTGAAGAGAGTTGGACTAAGAACTGCTCCTTGTGATGTGCCGTTTTCCAGTCTTTGGTAATCTGAAACTTGTCGTTGGGAAGCAACCGTTGCTGTTCTATTTAGGAAATAGTCGGCAATCCAATCTAGTAAGCATCCCTTGACGCCTTTCCGGGCCAGAATAATTACAATAGACTGTGCATTCTCCATCCAGCTCAAATGCTTTTTCTATGTCAAGGAATACTACAATTGCCTTATTTTGACCTATCGATCCCAAGAATGTGGCCAAACTGTGTGCAGTGCTGACATCGTTGGTGAAGTCAAAGATGTTGTGTTTAAGTGGTTCAGTTTTCCAGAGAAGTCGTATAAGGACCATCCTTTCGGTCTGAAATTCTGGGGATCATTGAGTTTGGGGATGGGAACTATGTTTGCCCTTTTCCAAGCTGTCAGGAGTCTACCAGCTGACCATGATGCATAGATAACTGTGAGAAGACCAAGGTCACCAGCAGGTCCTGCATTGGTGACCTGGTAAAACTTGGGCCGTGTAGTATATTACCGTTTCCAGGAAAGTGAATAATTTGTCAGGCAAGATTTTCACTCCATGAATCCATGTTGTGATGCATTGACGAGATTGCTCGGTCAAGTGTTGGATGATGGCGTCCCTCTCAAAAGAGTTTGCATATACAGTATGCGATGTTAGGCTGATCGGCCTGTTGTTTTCTGCTGCACTTTTTCTATCCTTCCTATATACTGGGATGAAGTTAGTTGATTTCCAGTCCCTAGGCACTTTTCCTTTCTGTGTTCCGTCCACTCTAGAAGTTTTGAGTTCTTTCCGTCTAGTTATTTTTCATTAAGTAATTTCATTAATGATTGTTATACCCCTTAATTAAGCTTTAACCTCTAAGGTATACAGCCTCCTAGGTACAGGCAAGTCATCCAGCATCTCTTGTGTAAACATTGATGTAAATCAATCATGTAGGACAATTATTGTCTTTATCTTTCTCCATCGCCACATTGTATTCATCCTTTAGAGGGCCAACAGTATCTTTAGTTTTCATTTCTTTCTTATTATTTTGGGCTAATTTAATTTCGAAGTGCCGTATAATTGATCGAATTTCTTGGTTGACCACATTTCGCTGTTTTTTTTTATACTACATAGACTGCATATTATATTGTGCTCTACCATAGGTGATATTTTCTTTTGATGTTACACTTTACACATTTTTCTACTGCTGTCTCAAGGATTTCAGTGAATTCTTGTCATGATTCATCTGCACCATGTTTCCTTTTTAACGACGTCCCCTCCAGTTTACTCTATGTAGTTTATTCCTCGTGAGCTGGTAATCCTTATTGTTAAAGTCGTAGTATTCCTCCTCAACTGCTTTCTCCCGACTTTCAAGGATTGTAAACCACCTTAGGAAGTAGTGGTTGCTGGCCGGGGTTAGTTTTTCCCCGACTTGGACCTCGTCCACCATTGCCTTTTCAGCCGTTAAGTCCAAATCCAGATGTTGCTCCCCTTCGTGGGTTCTGGCACGTTGTTGTATTGAGGAATGAGAAAGGACAGGGCCACAAGAGGTGGTGGTGTACTACTGTATGTCAAGGAACTCTTGACAGTCGCCAGCAATGATGAGCTAAATGGAATGGGATCATCCAAATCTGTTTGGTGTAATATGAGAATACAGAATAATAGTAAGCTGTTGATGATGCTGGGAGTCTTCTGAGATGATGGTGATAGAATTCAAACAAAGATAATGGTGATGAAGATGATGCTCATTCCAAACTAATGATGATGGTGTTTCATTAGAGGATAAAGATGGGTGTGTTTATTATACTATAATGCTGATGAGGGTGTTCATTTTAAGATTATGATCGGCGTTCATTATAAAATAATACTGATTATATTCAGTAATAAATTGTATTTTATTTTAGAATATAGATAATGATGATCAATATGATACAATGCTGATATTCATTATAATATATTGCTGGTGGGTTTCATTAATTAAAAATAAGTTTTCTTTATAGGATAACGAAGAGTTATAATTCTAGAATTCTAAGAGTTCATAATTAATGGTAGTGTTTCATTATGCAATGATGATGTAAAGGTTTTGTTATTAGATATTATGAAGTTCATTATAAGATAATTGCATTTTAAGATAATGATGATGGTCTTCATTGTAAGATAATAAGGTTGATAATAAAATTGTGATGGTGTCAGTGTTGAGGTTTTGTTCCCTGGGGCAGGTGTCACCGGGGTTGTTCAGCCAAAAGGAAGTTGAGGGGAGGATCACCAGGCTGAGGCAGCACATGGAGGGGGAGGGATTAGCCGCCTGCCTCTTCACCTCTATTCATAACATCACCTACTACACAGGTAAGGCCACTCCCTCTGCCAGGAAATGCCAGATATACTTTTAATTTTATGTAATATTTTGTATACTTTTGAGGTGGTCAACTTTCTTGAGAATCTCTGTAAACGGCCATGGCAGGGTAGGTCAAGAGGGACTATGAAAAGCAATGAAGAGTTGCAACTATATCTTTCGCTCGTCAGGCCGCACCTCGACTATGCGGTTCAGTTCTGGGGCCCTTATTATAGAATGGATATCAATTCACTGGAGTCGGTGCAGCGAAGAATGACTAAAATGATTCCGGAACTTAGAAACCTTCCATATCAGGATAGGTTAAAGAAACTTAACTTGCATTTCCTAGAAAGACGAAGAGTGCGGTGAGATATGATAGAAGTATTCAAGTGGGTGAAAGGAATCAATAAAGGTGATATAGATAAAGTTCTTATAATATCCGAGCAGGATAGGACTCGGAACAACGGATTTTTGTTGGATAAGTTTAGGTTTAGGAGGGAGATAGGAAGGAACTGGTTTACAAATAGGGTGGTGGATGAGTGGAACAAGTTTAGCAACTTTGTAGTAAGTGCTGGAACGCTGGAAAGTTTCAAAAGGAGGCTGGATATATTCATGGATGATAGAGAGTTGTAGTAACTCTCGACAGGAGCTGCCATGCACAGGCCAACCGGCCTATTGCAGACTCCTTATTTTCTTATGTTCTTATGGAGTAAAGTTGATGGTAGATGTGTAAGCTACGGTATGGTAGAGTCTCCCTAAGATGGTCGGGACATGTTAAAAGGATGCAGGAGGAGAGGATAATAAAGATGTATAGCAGAGAAAAGTGGAACAATATATTAAAGGGAAAACTGCATGGGGAGAACAAAGTAGGTGTGTATGAATAGGGCGATTTGGAACCTCTTCCGCCTCATTGTTGGTCTTACAGAGAACTGAATGATCGGTCATGTTGGTGGGCGTCGTTGCGGATCGCTGAGTGAGGTGGCTGGGTGAATTGGCCTGTAGGAACAGAATTACCAATACAGTATATGCTGCCTTACAGCTAGCATACGTTAACTAATAAACTACTGATGATTGTAGGTGTATGGGTGGGTAACAAAATTTTTTTAAATTAATTTTAATAGTTTCGGGTGCTTTCGTGTAATTCACATCTTCAGGGGTGAGTACACTCAGTACAGACTAAGGAGAAATACTTGAGAAGGCTAATATATACAGTAGAGGAGAGTGAGATCAAGTCCCTAGGGGACAGCAGGGGTCCACAATGTTCTGGTCATAAGGCAGTGACCCTTTCTAATCTTCTTAATCTAAAGAAATTGACCATTCTATCTCTAAGCACAGCAGTTGTCCATAGTCAGGTCATAGGGTAAGATGACCCAACCTTCTCACCTGGTTACAAATCTTCTTAATCACAAAATTATCCAGTTTGTACACTCGGAAACCATATTCTCTAGCCCACCTGGGTCGGTGCTGGAGGTTAGTACAGTGTCCTTTCTGGACGGGGGGCCCACTCTAACTATCAAGAGGCAACACACGCACGAACACACACAGTCATAGTACGGCTATATAAATGATATTATGTATAAATATTGTATATGGCATTTTATACTCTGCATTATCTTCATTATATATGAACGAGAAGAAAAATTACCGTAGGTTGTAGTTACGAAAGTATGAATGGAAATAAACACTTCCAAACCACCCAGTGAGTCTACACAACGTTTACAGCGCTTGTGTGTGTGTGCCAGACCACGATGCTTCCACCACACCCCATCAATCGTGTTTAATTTAACTACATATTACAAAAACCTTAAATTACATGTGGCTCAGTCACTCCTTATTTGACACACTTATAGTGTAATACTTTGACCATCCCACCTGGGCACATGGAGGCCCACAGTAACTCTCAAGGGGTAACATGCACACGAACACACAAGTTATGATATGAACCCTTCCAGGCTTCACTATCATTATCATGTTATGTTCATCGTGCTCTGTATCTTGGTAACTAGTCATAGTATCAATACATGACAGTGTTATTAGTATAATATTGTAACTTTTTACCTACAGTTATTGTTGTAAATCATGGACAGGAAGGATACATAAATTGTAATATCAAGTGTATGGTTCGCTCAAAGCCACCCCAAGTCAGACAACGCGTCACACAAAGTTGCACTGTGTGTGTGTGTGTGTGTGTTCTGTAACATTAAGCTTCATCCTTAGTAGGTAAGATGTTTCATATAGAGGTTTCTCCCATTCGTCACTGTGAGCATCGTCCCAGAGCACATTGTTTCCATCAAAACCATGGTTCATCCTTATTTCCCTTCTTCCGTGTAACTATATCCATATGGCTAAGTGCTTCCTTTTCATTTTTATATTTACCAAAATAATGTGGATCAGTTACTCGTTATTTAACATATACATGCACTTAGAGCATCAAGATTGTTTTGTAGGCATGCCTATTGGTTAATTGAAACCCCAAAGATGTGGTGACTTCTCTTCCACCCCATTGCCTTCTCTTCTTCCTTCTCCTCCACCCCCATTCTAATTCCCATCATCATCATAATCATCAACCAGGAGCCTTCTACATGCACACCTCAAAGTATGTGTACTTGACTGCATTTATTTTTCGTTTGTATGTAATTTTCGGTGAGCTGGAACCAATTACCCAAAAACCCATTGAAACAATGGTTTTGGTGAACGAATTTTTCTGTTAACATGCAACCTTCTGGAAGGAATTGTGCTCGTTAACCGAGGGACCACTGTGTGTGTGCGTGTGTGTGTGTGTGTGTGTGTGTGTGTGTGTGTGTGTGTGCGTGTGTGTGTGTGTGTGTATATATATATATATATATATATATATATATATATATATATATATATATATACAAAATAACTAAAAGGCAAGTGACGGGTGAAGAAGGTTCAGTATAGGGTAAAGAGTGGATGGATGGATGGTTGGATGGAGGAGTAGGATCGTCAGCAGCAGCACCACCCCAAGGGGCAGCAGAGGGGGGCAAAGGGTTGGGTTTCCTTTGCAAGACTGGCACTGCCACGAAAGCAGCCCAAGCACCAAAAAAACGCCAGGAGGCGCACACCTTCAGGTTTTGGTGGCCACACCAACACAATAAACATAGGGAGAACGGAATGTAGGTTAACCGTAGAGTTGTTTGTCAAAGATGGATAGTGCAAGTTGGAGAGGAAGAGTTTTGAGTCTTTGATCTTGAAAATATCGAACTACTCTAGCATGGAAAGGATGAGAGTGTCATCGAAGTTTTTAGTGAAACCGGGAGACAGATCGTTGAGCTTTTATGTCAAATTTATGAGCAGAAATGAGAAGGAAGGAGAGGTTTTATAATTTACGGTATAAGTAGTGTTTCCACCTCCTGCCAGTTTCGCAGGTGTCTATGACTGTCAAAGTGAAGCACTAACGAGTTTGATGTACGATGGTTTCTTATGTCATTATTATGTTTATTGAACAGAACTCGTTAGTGCTTCACACTGACAGTCACGAATGCCTGCCGAAATGGCAAGAGACGATAACACTACATATGTGATATGATAAAAGAGCAAGAAAGACAACCAAGGCAGCCTACATCACAACGAAACAAAATCATCAAATTATCGGGTAGGAATTAGGAGCCTGGCCAAGGCGCACCGAAGACGGCAGAGTCGGGGGAGAGTAAACGTCCTTCAGGAGGACGTTTTCCCGGAGGTATAGCACTGTTTGTCATTGACGTCACACTACGTGGTAGTGGTGAGGACAAACAAAGCACTGTTTACCTGTTACCCTCGATAATACTGTATATTCAAATGACCAATGCTACAATTATTATCTTACTCATTAAAAGATCTAGAACAAAATATACTAAAATATAACAGCTGCCAGCATAATTATGAAGTATATATTTCTATTGAGAGGTTGGCCCTCTGTTCCCATCTGCCGCGTTTCTACTGCACTTGTGCCACGCCGTCTCAAATCTATTTTTAGTAACATCCGCGAATGACGAACTTTGCTCTCTGGGGGCTACCGTGCAAGGTAGTGCTGCTGCTGACAATCCTAGAACAATATTATTGCCATCAGCCAAGCCCGGGTTAACGTTTTCCATCCCTTTTAAGATTTTAAATGACTCAGTGAGTTCTGTCCTTTTGTGTCTTGTCTGAAGTCACTTGGATAAACCAGAGGAAATAGTTCCGAAACCATCTTAGTCACTCGGTGTTGCACCTTTTCTAGGGAAGCTAAGTGTTTCTATGGGTAAGGTCTCCATTCTTGTATTTAGTAACTCAGATTGCAGCGTACGTGAGATTTATATAGTTGAAGTATAGTTTTGCTATATTTGTATTCAAAGGTACGCTTTATAATTCCCAAGTCCAGGTTTGCTTATTCATTGCTGCTTCCACTTGTTGCACTGCCACGCCATTAACCATTTTTAAGTCAGGAAGGCGAGCCAGATAGGGGTGTCTTGGTTGTTCATATAATCATACGAGTCCAAATATTTTACTTCAGCTCAAACATTAATGAATTCAAATTGATATGATTTTGAATATGAATTACATGTTACGAAGAAGGAAATACTGACTGAAATACCTGATGCAGGAGGCTTCGTGTACTGTGCCTTCGGCAGACCATACGGGTTGCTAGTGACCCCTGAGAAGCACGTCACCATTTCTGCCCTCGTCGATGGTGGCCAACCATGGCGACGGTCACCACATGTAAGTTATGTTCACCGCCCATACCTACGCCCACGCTTACATTCACATCCACCTCCTGTACACACAAGTGCCTCTGGCTGCATGTCCCATCATGCAGATGTGAACAGCCCAAATTGTAAAATGTGTGATCAGACATGTAGCCCACACTCTACCTCACTACGTCTGATATTTTAAAAGATAATTTTTCTGAACAGATTAAAGCATAGCACACCACTGTATTACTAATGGTAACATGCTGTAGCTCACATACTAATATTGAACCCACATTTTTTAACAAGGAAATAAGTTAATTACATAAAAGACGCAGATACACAATTTACTCCTAATATTCTATAATACTCAGCACCATGAAAGTCTAACCACTGCTCTGTAATACCACTGATCGCATGGGAATTGGGTGCCCAATAAACTAGCTGTTATCTGAGGCATAAGTGAAAAAAGAAACATTCATTGTCTCACCCACCAACACTCACCAAGACTCACCCACCAACACTTACCAAGACTCACCAACACTTACCAAGACTCACCCACCAGCACTCATCTACCAACACAAATTAAAACCTAGGTGTACCTAACCTTGTTACAAAAAGGTGTGCTTAGCTAAACTTTTTCGTCGTTTATATGTTTTTGCAATTCCTTCCGAAAAGTTTTCTTAGAAACTATTGTGTACCTAGAAGATATCTTCCTGTAAAAAATTATCATAACAATCAAGGAACTGATAAATATGATGGTAGGTATAATAAAACCAGGTAGGATTATACCGGAAGATAAGTATAAAGTGAAGAGAATCCTGTAAGTCAGGAAACTGTGTCTCATTAATATAAGATAGGAGGTTTAGCTTATTAGAAATAATATGGAGATTTCTGAAACTTATATTTAAGGGAAATGGTATAGGAATCAGGTCAGAAGTAATATTTGTGACAAATGCAAGACGATGACGAGTAGGCAAGGTTGTGATTGCATTACTGCTAATTTCACAATAGTCTGGTGCTATATGATAACCTTCTACCATTAAATGTTTGCCTACATCCTGGCATATAAGTATAACACTGGTTTGATTCGGGACAAAGTAATATTGCACATTATTAACATGTGCGTGAAACACTAACCTATGTGGTACTGGAGTATATACACATTGTTGTAGAACTGTAGAGGCATTAGTTTGTAACAGAGCTAATTCACATGCAGTTTCCGCAGCCCGCGTGAATGCGAAAGCATACGTCGGACAAACATGCAGATGCAAATATGTTGATTTACAATGATTTAGGACTTCATGCTTAGCCACAGTAACTAATGAAAAATCCTCTGATACTACTATTAGTTCAGTTTGTTTGTTCAGAATTAATATTCTCATTCGCTTTTAGTGGAAATGGTTCCAAATGCCATGCTGCATTAATTTTTTTGTGATTTTAGTGGAATGTGTAAAAGTATTTCCCTGTGTGTTAATGTTGCTTCTAATAAGGGATAATAATATTCCACTTCATGCTCCTGAAAGATAGGAGGTAGATGATAATTAGTTTCAGATACATGCAACGCGGCAATTAGTTGATGGGCTGTGCAATGGCCCTATTTTGTTTCCTAACCGCGTCTGAAACTGCAATCATTTTATTTCCTAGTTTGGCCACATCTTCGGCGGTTGCCGTACCAAACAAGGTGTTACTTATTAATCCTACTGTAAGATTGTACCATCGTACGATATGTTTTCCCATGTAGAGATGGGGGCTTGTCTTTGGCAGCGCCAGGTTGCCAGTCACCAGCTGACGCTGTTAGAATAAAGTCTACAAAGAACGTGGACTATGACTCAAACCTCTCACATGGCGCAGTGAGTAGGATATGTCGGGGCCCGACACGCCATTACA